TGCAGATTTGGGGGGGTGTTAATCAGAGAATTTGTGATTTATTATCAGAGAACTTGCGATTTTTAAACAGAGAAAACCAGGATCCCTGGAGATAAGCTGAGAATCCTGGCACCTCTCGCTGCAGGTACATGGGGTAGCAGAGACTCATATGACATGAGACACAAATGAAGCCTGAGAAACAATTGAAACCATTGTGCAAGCATTACCACTCCTGCATCAGGGGCTGGCTGCAGGAGGAGCACCCCCAGCTCACACCACAGCATAGAGAGCTAAGACCAGAACACCATGGAGTGGTACACACCACTGAGCTGGCGAACCACAACCCTGAGCCCTAGAACTGCTACCTCAGGGTATCACAACAGACCCTCCCCATGAGCCCTATGTGCTGTGCCTGGAGTCCCCTTGGCCTGGCCCTCCTCTTAAGCATCTCTCCTGATGGCTGATGGCTCATCCCAGCCAGAATTCATTATCAGCATGAAACAGAGCGAGAGTGGCCAAACCTGGGGAAACCACTGCAGGAAATGTCTCCAAGCTCCCCATCTAGCTCTGGGTTTGAAATGGTCCCATTTTCCACTTCTCCAAGTTCTGTTCATGATATTGTAGCTGAGATTTTTGGCCAAGTAGTTTCCAAAACAGTTACTGACATTTTCCATTTATCAATAACTACATGGCTTTCAGTAAATGCAGCATTTGAACTACTGGATAGAACAGGCTGCAGAAAGCATCACCATCCGCCCTGAAATGGTTTCCCCCATCAAAGAGCCTTTCCATAAAAACCATGTGACAGACCAACCAGTTCCCCCATGCCCTTGTCTTCCCTGCATGCATGGTGTACACACATGCATATGCATTCCACCCCCCCAGTTTTGCAGTCTCATACAGTGCCTTGAAGCTTCAGAACAGCTCAGAAAAGTCACAGAGGTGGAAAACATTCAGGCAGGGTCACAGCAATGGCAAAACAGTAGTCTTCATGGCCATCCCTGATTACTAACCCCCATCGGGCTTGCAGTTGTAGGCACATCAGACAGCAAATGCAAAAGGTATGCTTCCCTCTCCCAGCGGTGCCAGTGCCCAACACCAGAGTGCTCCTCAAGCCACACAGTTCAGTGCAGTTTGTCTCTCACGGCCCCAGGGACCCATGAGAGGAGACACTGAGTCCAGCTATTGCTCAAGACTCAAACTAGGCCAGACCCACCCCACTGCCATCCACTTTGGATCCAGCCACGTGGTAGGGTGACCATCCATCCCTAACTGGGCAGAACAGTCCCAAGATGGGAACATCAAGTCCTGGTCCCAGGCTGCATGATTCTGGGACAGCATTTGTTCCAGAGTTGTAGTGTCGTGCGGGGATCCAGGTTTTCTGTTCACTGCAAAAAAAGCATGGGAAATGGCAGGTTTCCCCTTGCAGGCTGGCAGAATTCCAGGGAGACCAGGATGCAGGGGGAACCACATGCGTGCGTGCGTGCAAAAATACGCCCCTGGCAGGGGTCAGGAATACACCCATGGCAGGGGTGGACAGCAGCTCCCCCAACTGCCTGCAGGTAAGTCTATGAGGGGGACAGCAGATTGAGGCCTTAGCGGTGAGGGAGGGAGGGAGGGGGCAGGGTTGGGGGCTGGGGCCACTGCCCAGCTGAGG